TAGTCTGATTCTAGTGTTTCTAATTTCTGTACTATTTTTCTTATAGTTGCTATTTCAAATGTTGTAAGTATTTGAGGGTATGCTTGTATTTCGATTTCAAATCTTCTTTTAAATTCAGATTGTATTCTCAATATTTGTTTATTTGTGTATTGTCTTTTCGGATATTGTTTAGCCAAAAACTTAGTTAATTATCTGTTAGTTTTACTAACCAAGGTTGGTTCATTAATCTTTTCGCAGTTTATATTTCTTGTTGACTTGTTCTAATATTTCGTTATAGTTTTGTTTGTACACAGTTGCAATTTCTTGGATATAGTCCTCGTTTTCTTGTTTTCGTATTGCCAATACTATGTATGCTATTACTAGTTCTTTTGCCGCTGTTTTTTGTTGGTCAATAATTATTTTGATTCTGTTATATACCCTTTTTGAAGGCGATTACGGGCCTGGCGCCTTTTCTCTTTATCTACTAGTGGTGTGCCAGTTGTTAAGAGCTCAAGTATTTCCGGAGCATATTGGCTAAGCTTTTCGGGACTTGTCTTATTGGTGAGTTTGTGGTCTGTGACGAATTTGGTTGTAATGGCAGACATGATGTGGTAAGTAGAATATAGGGTGAGTGTTAGATTAATCTATAATATTCAGATTATATATTCTGCAAAAGTTCAATTCGAAAAATTTACTCATAGCTATGCTTCTTTGAAAAAGAAGCAAAAAATAATGATATAACTCATGCTCTGGTTGGGAGTTTTACATTGATTTAAAATCTGCAGGTAAATATGATATGCAAAAAAAGATACATAGTTACGGATCTGCTATTCCAAAACTATGAATAAAATCTTTCTTGAAAGAATATTATAATTACATTTTAGTCGAGTAACCGTGTTAGAGCTAATATATGCTCTGGCCCTAAAATATCTGTTTTTGTGAATGCGTCATATAAGGCACCTGGTCTATACTTTGAAGGGGTTAAATTCGGCTGATGGAGAAATTTCATGAGTACGCCATTTCTCCAAGCTTTCGTTTCTTTATGTCTTCAGCATAATTTTAATAGCTGATATAAAGTATCACTACACGGACTTCCTTTGAGGAAGATTTGGAGTAGACTTATTTTTTTGTTAATTGGTGTTAGTAAACTTCTTTCTGATACAATTTCACTGATACAATATTTTATGGAAGAAAGATATTCTCTTAATAGTATATAATCATGAAAAGATAGAATCAAAAGCCTTTCTTCTTTCCATTGTATATAGCCTTCACGTAGCAATTTATTATATATTGACCTATTTATAGTGATCATGCGATTAGTTTTGGGATTAAAGATTTTTTTGCGAGATTTATCTGTTGGTCGGTTTAATATGTCCATAACGTTTGTATGAAAAGATGTTTTATCTCATCATAATATCGATTAATTTAAATACACATTTTATTATAAAATTAAAAGTGAAGAGGGTTTTATATCCTAAAATACTTTTGCTTTAGCGCTTCTGGCCATGGCTTACCTTACTTGTACACATATCAAGAAGGATGGTACCGTCTGTGGAAATAATTCCTGGTGCCCTACAGGGTGTTATAGGCACTGGAAATTATATGAAAAAAAATATAGAAAAAAAACCCTGCCTTGTTAGTGGTTGTCATAAATATACTGTTTCTACTACAAGATGTTGTCCTGATCATTCGGGTAGATTTTATTCGAATGAGGCAGAAGTATAGGGCTGAGGCCCTTCAACTCAAAATCCTTGAAGCTCCAATTTCCGAGTCAGATGATAGTAGTGCTTCGATCCGTGAACACTTGTTTCCCACTTCTTCACAACTATTTGCAGACTTATTAGGAAGAAATTTAACAGATTCGATCCCGGTCAAAATACTAGGTAATAAGGTTGTAATTAAAAGCTCAGCTCCAGAGCCACCCAGAATCTATGAAGCTTCTATTTCTGAGTCAGATGATGAAAACGATGAGAATATGGGTCTTGACCTCTTTGGGGATTAGTGGTTAGCTTGAAATTTGGAGCATTAGGAATCCCCTCTGAATTATCTGCCGGAAAGTAAGCAAAATTTTTTTCATTTATATTATTAAGTCGAATAGCACTATTTTTTATAGTATGTAGTTGGGTATTTTTCTGCGAAAATATTATATAAAATAATAGCAAAAGAATACCTTAGCAGATAGTATAAATCGAGGGTAGTCTTCTGTGTAATCTATTATATAAATATTGGCAGAAGACTACCCTACATGAAGAACGGTATTAGCACATATCAAATAGATCCTGAATATCTTCTGTAATTTGCATGGTGTTCTTCTTGCAGGGTCCAAAAGATGTTTTGCCTGTTTGTGGGAAAGTCTGCACTCATATTAAAAACACTGGACTTCACATGAAAAATTATGAAAAAAAACCCTGCCTTGTTTGTGGTTTCCCTACTATTTCCATTACAGAATATTGTTCCAAATATTTAGCCAAATTCCATTCGCCCAATTATCAAATGAGGCAGAAGTATGGGGTTGGGACTCTTCAACCCAGAAAGGCCTAAGAATTGTCTACCAAGAAGTAAGAAAAAATATATTTCAAAAATGAAGGCTTCTGCGTAATCTATTATATAAATATTGGCAGAAGCCTTCATTTTTAAAGTATATACCCTGGTCAGGGTATGGTGTATTTATATTAATATTTTGTCAGGTGAAAGCTCACTATAGCCATACCGAGTATCTTTTTCATTTACCCAATATATTTCTTCTCCTGTTTGATATAATGGAAGCTTTGGGGCGTCTTCATCATCAAATGGGCTAACTAGATGATAATATCTAGCATTCTTATCTATAGCCTTAAATTTTAATCCATATGTTGCATATAGTGCTGAATTCAGTAAACCAAGTTTCGCTCGAATTGTTTTTAATCCCGATTTTTTAGCTCTACGTAATGCATCTGTATTGTCGAATACTCGAGCCATTCTGGGAACTAAATCCTGGAGATATGATATTGCTTCAAGAGAATCAATGCATATTTTAACATCATCAGCTTTATATCTAACTCTATTATCAATATCTCTAGCTGGTATGCAAATCCTTAATAATTCTAAGCAAATTCAATGCCTCTCAGCTCAAGTTGCAGTTGTAAGCCTATCTTCTCTATAATCTTTATAGGTGATTGCTTCAACGGCCATTTCATTGTCAATACCAGCATCTCGTAATTGCTTATAAGCTCTAAACCATTTCATATAATTATAATTCCCATACTTCAAGATAAATTCCTCAGTCAATAATTCAGGTGAAATCCCATAACAATCTGCAATATGATGCTGGTCTAAAGAGCATATCTCTTCTAAAGTCTTCTTCAGCTTGTTTTCTAAAAATTCAGCAGTCTCATGATTAACAATAGTAGCATTAGTTATTGCTGATATTTCCTCTGCTTTAACAGTAGCAGAATTCACCTTCACAACTTGAGATAACGATGTAATATTTTCATCATATTTAGGGATAGGCTCTATGATAAAAATTACCATACCCGCCTCTCTGAGAAAATCGTCTGTTCTCCAACCAAATAAGCGCCGGGAACAGAATTTTTCCAACATATAGGCCACCCATAATCGAATAGTCGGTACATCCTTATTCCGGATGATAGAGTCTATATCTGGAAATATTCCTCTGTTCTGAAGTTCTCGGGAAAGACATTCACATTTAGCATTTAATAACGACCGAAATAGCCCATTTTCTGTAATGGGAACATTGCAAGATCTTTGTTCAATATGACATATATAGTCTTTGATACACCGCATGCGGAATAATATCTGATTTGTCTTAGTACAGTCATCCTCCCCTATAATCACACAATTGGGCACATACTACTGTAGTGATTGTAAAGAAGTGTGACTTTACAAA